TAATTTACTCTTTGGCTGTTTTAATGGATTACATTATTGGATTTCTATCTACTTTTCTATGTCATGTTAGTTGCACATTTGTGAAGGTGTCACTATACATACTTGTGTTCTTGAAAGGATTCTGAGTGTTTATCTACTACATAGCCTGTGACAAGGATTGTATTGTCAGACACTGATACATTAGAGCTAATATATAGCTCCTGCTTTGTGAGTGCATTTTATATTACCTTATTGCTCACCTCTGTCATATACAATATTACACTATTTTGCCATCCTTGTCATTTCATAACATGAAATCTGCATAAGCTGGTGAACACACTACAATACCTGCTGTACTTCACCTATCAGGAAGTCTGCTATCAATCAAATTTGGGACTAGTCTGTAAATACTATTTTACTACTTTTTATTTTTATTGTTGTTTAACATCTCTGCACCAATGTTTGGCGCAATCAGTTTTTTTAACAAATACTGGTGTCTGTCAGACAAAAGATAACCTGCACATATTCCATTAATTTCTACCATTCTGTAAGAAGTCCCATCCTTCCCTTGTCCCTTACTCTCCACCAAATCTCTATGACATCTGGCAGGAATGCAGAAACAGTTCTTGAGGTCAATTCTAATATAGATATTAATGCAGGCATAGAAAAACGATTCAGAAAACTTCTACATCTTCACAGTTTGGCTGTTTTAGCCTGAAATTTGCTTGACTTTTCAGTTCACTGCAGTTAATTTCTAGTGAAAAAAAATCCATTGTACTGTGGAAAATATTAAAATTTTCTATATTAACTTTTATTCCCATGGGTAGAAAAAAGCCACATTCAATACACTGTCTACTGTTAATTGCGTTCTTGACATTTGGCTTAGTTTGGATTAAATGCATCTTGAAGCAGCAATTTAGTTTCAGCTTAGTATTGATTTTCCTTAATTTTAGCAGTTGGTTCTTCTCTGGTGTTACTAAATTGAGTTAGTTTTTACTTAACTATTTTCCAGACAGTATACTATTCACATTTTCAATTCCAAATTGTGAAGTGATTTTATAAAGAAAGACCCTCAAAAACTTGAAAAGTATATTTAAAAGCTACTTCTCACAGTACCTACTATTTATAATCTTTTAAAAGAGTAACATAGATTGGGAGAAAAATATTTTTAAAATTAGGTCTAGCTCCCACCTGTAAGTCAATTCTTAAGCATTCTGAAGAAATGGCTGACAAGAAAGAGCATAAGAGACCTCCCATAGGCCCACAAGCCAGCGACTGAAGTGAGAGGTTTTACAACATCAGAAATGTTCCTTAATCAAGTTCTATTAATTTCCTATAAAAGTTTTTAAATCAAGAACAGTTTAGAAATTATTTTTCTTAGGAATCAACCAATATATTATGCTTTATATCTTTGAAGAATATATTGATGGGTGCTGCAGTAATCCAGCATAATTTGAGAGCTACACAGTTCTTTTGTATTTTCATTTGATATATATTTTGTTATATAGTACATTATTTTATTTTTTATGGTAGTTCAGATACCTATGTCTCTTTCAGCTTTTTTTAAATACCAAACCCACCCCGCCCTCCCCACCCAAGACAAGCAGTATGTCTATATATTAGACTTGAGAGGCGTTATAGCATATATTGTTCACTCAGTCTACTCTACTGCAATTTTCTTCAGGTTTCTTTTTTTTCTTAATTTTTATTAGTAATTTTCCATATATATGTTCCTATACCTTGTTCCAACCTATAACGGAAGGTCAGATGCTCACGATAATGTGATAGTTAAGAGGAGGCATGACACACTACGGCTAGGCTAATTCCGTTGTTGTATATTGTGTTAATAAATTTTAATCCATGGAATATTTTGCTGCATTCAATTGTTGTCCATGTCTTTAACTCCACACTTATATGATAATGTTAACTTTCATTGTATTGCATATCTATGGATTGATACAAAATTAATGATTTTTTGATTTATTTTTTTAAATCTGACATGCTTGGCAATTGCATGTTCAGGATTTCGAATGTTTACCAGATCACCTGAAATTTGGACACATTGCACTGAAGAACCAAATGAATGTACAAGTCTATAAAAAACATAGGATTGCACTGCAGACCACATTTAGAACACATGTTCAAGCAAATACCTTGCTTTTTATTACACACTTTAAATTGAGCTGTATGTTTAGGGTGAGGGGACAAATGATATCAGGAATTAATTATCTGCACTGTAGAAGCTATGGACTGTAACTTTCATAATTTATTGGTAGTATCCCTTGGTTTGTTGTGAAACTGTTTTGGAGCAGCAGCTCTCCCCAGCACTCAAAGCCATCTATTCTCTAGTTACATTGATAATATGGAGTTTACATTTTCCCATTAGTG